TGCTGCCATTGACCCTGACTGGAGCTGATCTCTATGCCCTGTGCGCTGATGCTCTATACAATGCACTTCACCGCATTACATGCAAGATTGCAGCAGGTACAACTAATACTAATTATCTTTTGGTTTTCTTAGTTATTATTTCTCTAATCAAACTGGCACAGAAGCTGTTAATACTATAGTACTCCTTGATTCACTAAGAAATTATAAGCCACATAACAGAAATTAGATTAAAATGCTTGTTTTGAGAGTAGCCTACAGGTATCTTTTAGTAATTTCTGAGTTCTTTTATTTCAATAATTCAATTTGGATACTTCTTCAGCTTGCTAGTCAGTTACATCAAAGTGATTACTGAAGTATATTTTCATTGTATGAGATAATGTTGCATTAGGTATAGTTCCTCTTAATAATTTGACATAATAGTTGCATTTCTATCATCTCTCCTTCCCCCCTCCCCCTTCCCCTCTCTTATGACAATGTTTTTGCATTTCTATCATCTTCCCCTCCCCCTCTCTTTCTCTATCTCTTTCTTAGTCTCTCTGTCTCTTATTACAATGTTTTTTTCTTCTTCTTTTGCAGGAGAAATCAATAAAGATGAAGCAAGTGTAAGTGTAGAGGAAGAAGACTTGTCTTTGGCTGCCAGCCATTTGATTCCATCTGTCACTCCTTCAGAACTAGCGCACTATAAGGCTCTCAGCACCACCAAGCAGAGATAATGGTTCTTCTGTTTTTCTCATTATGTTGTGCAATGTATATAAGGATGTGATTTTTATGGTAATTTCTTTGATAAGCTACAAAGAAGAATATGTAAATACAATTTATAGAAAATGAAAAGAATATATTTAGATTTATACACTGTGCCATACCAGTAACAGATGAATTGGTTTTATTGCATTTTTTAAGGCATGAATATTAATATAGATAAATGATATTGATATTAAATTTTCATGAACTACAGATTTTTTTTTTTTATTTAATCTGCTATGCTGAAATATTTCATTGTTATCTTTAAATGCTACTGTGCTTCAATGTATGAAATTAATATGTCCATTGTAAATCCTGGTTTACAGTGGTATTACAATTCTAAAGCTTGTTGGAAAAGCTTTAATTTCAACTTATTACAGTGCTGTGAGTAATGAGGAATGAATTATATATTTTTCCTGTTCATATTTTTCCCCATCATTGAACTGTAAACTGTTAGTTAACTAATAAAGAAGTAAGAAAATTCATATACCTTAATTGCTTGTATACTTCCAAAGAAATTGATTAAGATCTTTGCCTGCCTTTTGTACAATAGCTTATTTGATGTTCTTATATATATATATATATTTCTTTCAAAGAATTATAACATACGATAAATGAAGTTATAAGAATGAAATAAAAATTTACCTCTTATTGGATACTGTTGATTAACCCATTGCCGGCGGGGAAAATGAACAAAAAATGGGGAAAATGCTGTGCCTATTTTCTATATTATTTTGTTAAATGTCTGCCCATAGATGGCTCTGTTAGTGCCTGATTTGAAATGGCAGGAAAAACGTATTTTTCACTAATGCCATGAATATCGATGGTGTTATTTTTATTATAAACATTATAATTTTTATAATGTTTTTTAACATTAGTAACAGCAAAATAAGATAACGTAAAATATTTTGTAAATCAAAGAAAAGGGTGAACAGGCAAGACAAGCGGTACTCGTAAATGGCTCATTGGTGATTTAGTACAAGTGTAGCCATCTATGTGTAAAAACAATCCAACAAGTAATCTTGTAGTGGGCATGATGTGGCATGCCCATCGGCAATGGGTTAAGAGAAAGAAAATCTTAACAAATAAAACAAGAGAGGAATTCAGTCTAAATATGTCTACTTCCAATTAACTAATATATCTGATTTATTAGGATATGTAACCCCAACTAAATATTAGTGCACTGTGTTATGATGTGATATATCATTATAAGTGACAAAACTTAATGATAGTTTATGATCTATAAGCTCCTGATAGCATGCTCTGACATCTCTGGTAGGAAAAACTTATTTCCATTGATGAGCTCAAGCGTTAGCTGTGTCACACTGGACAAGAATGAGTGAACAGCCAACATTTTCAGCATATCTTCTTGAATTTGTTGTTTTTTATATTGCAAGATAGTCAACCCTTTATACTAGTAGACCCCACTTCTAGTTTACTTTAAGTTAAGTTAAGTTGGTATACAAATTATTTGCATTATTCACAAGTGTGTGTGTGTGTGTGTGTGTGTGTGTGTGTGTGTGTGTGTGTGTGTGTGTGTGTGTGTGTGTGTGTGTGTGTGTGTGTGTGTGTTTCTTTCTGTGTATGTGCATGCATATTTATGCATGTATGGTTATATACAGAACTATTAACAAAGCAAAATAAAAAAGTACATTATTAAATTCAAGGTATGGATTACATTAATTGGAGACACGTGTCCAAGTAAGCAGGGTACAATATATATAAGGGGTATAAAACATATATTTTTTTTCTTTTTATT